TTACAAGCTATGGAGAAGGACTCTTTTGCAAGGTGGTGGTTGTGAAGGATTAGCACTTGGACATGGAGATGATGACTCGATCCCGAGTGTTTTTAGCAGGAAGCTCCTCTCCTGCAAAAGCAATGAGTTTTTAAAACTAAAATGTTGGATCAAAGCCTAAGTATTGTATGATGAACATGAATGATAAGCTTACACTTTCAGAGAATTGTGGACTTGGTATGCCATCTGCTAGAGATCTGAACAATGGTGTGACCTGAACAGGCGAGCTGAACTGATCAGGATTTTTCGGGATATCGCAAGTTGATAGCAACTCCTCTCTATCTTGTTTATGCGTATCAGCAAGCGGTTGTTGTGTTCTATCACCAGACTGATCCAGCATGATGGTTGATCCCGAACTAGACTCAGAGCTAGCTGGTGAGTCATGAAGATCAGGTTGCCTAAAGAACATCAAACAAAAATGGTTATACACTCAGAAACACAAAAAATTCCGCGGAGATTAAAAAGCTATATTCACCTCCAAGATAGTTGATTGTCTTCATAACCACTCCTCAAATCCTCTACAAGATCCTTAAATTCCTCGAGTTGGAAATCGATATCAGGTATTCCATATCTGAATAAATCAGTTTCCTTGCCTTTGTTCAAGAAATCCTGAAGGACCTGATATAACAAGAGCTGTGTTACCAAGAATCTTGAATCGGTAGTTCGATATGTTGAGAAGTTGTTCTTTCTTGGTTTACCTTCCAAGCATTCTCCATGCTTTGTTCTGTGTTGTCTGCGTTAACTTTCTGCGCCAACGAGCTTAAAAGTTCGGCTTGTTGCATCAAAGCTGTCACTTTTGGATCATCTTTCTTAAGAAACATCCCTTCACCATCACTCTCCTTCACATTGCTTGTTTGATTATGTTCCTCCAAGCTATCATCAATACCCGTGGCATTACGCGCTAATACCGAAAATGGAGATCTTATCTGCTGATTCACACAAGACTGATCAACCTTCCCATAGTCACTCATATCCGTAAGATCAAGAATGTGACTTCTCCTGTAATATTCATAAACCAACAAAGTACATGAATGTGTGAACACTTGGGAGACATGTTTATTAAGATCGAAAAGAAACAAACTTACCTTGTTCTCTTAGCAATAGGAGCTTCGTTCTCGGCTTTTCGCGGTGTGCTAATACCGTCTAAGAACAAGATTCTTTTGTTGCTATTCTCTATAGCCAAAGCTTCATGCTTGGCTCTCTTCTTACAAAGTGTTGTAAACCTGTTCTTGACAGCATTATCCGTTCTAACAAACACACACAAAGAACAGAAACATTAGTTAATCAATCTGGTCTTTATAATAAAGACTTGACCCACCATTAAAGCTTTGAGCTTTGTTTCTACCTGCCTGAAACCACTTTTGCTATCTCAGTCCATCTATTCCCAAACACTTTTTGTGCCTAAG